AGGCCGCGCGGCAGCCGCACCAGGAGGCCGCGCGGCAGTTGCAGGCCGCATCCCCGGGGCGGCCCAGGAAGGAGCAGGCTGGGCGGCCATGGGGGTAGCAGGCCGTGCGGCAGTGGCAGGCCTCGTGTCTGAAGGCCGTGCCACCCGCGCGGCCCCAGTAGGCCTCAGATCCCAGCCCCCCAGTAGTAGGCCGCCCCCACACTAACTTACACAGAACATAATCCCACCCACACACTCTTTCCCATCCAATCCCATGCATCTATCCCCACACTCCTACATGTGCCCTTGTCCGCTTAGCTGCACTATCTCCCCAGGGCCTTTCCAACTGTGAGGGATGAAAATGAGATGGTGTGATGAAGGGATGGGAGATAGGAATTAAGGGAATGACGATTCATCTTTAGATGGAAACAGGGAATTAAAGTACTGTGGTGATCGCTGTTCCTTCCTTCTTCTCTCCACCCCCTCCATTCATTGATTATGTTATGAGATAATAATATGGGATATAACAATATGGGAAGTCACAAACTTATGAAGTTAATGTTTACGCAACAAAAATGATTGTTTAAAAATTTAATAGATTAGCACCTAATTCACAAGGCACAAATGAGTAAAGGTGGGAAGGTAAGGGTGTTGTAGGAGAGAGGAGATAGTTAAGGGAAATAAGAGATAACGTGAATAAACACAGAAATGTAATGGCATTGGTTTTGGGTAATTGGTAAGGGTTATATTGAGATTTTCTCAGGAGGTATACACACATTCCAATTGTGAGGAATCAGAACGAGATGGGGGATGGAGGGTGGGAAGACAGGAATGAGGGGAACGACGACTCATCTTCAGATAGGAACAGGGGACATTCATATTGTGATGATCGCTGTTCCTTCCTTCTCTCCTCTTCCTCCATTGATGCACTAACTTGCGGTTTTATTATATTGAATAGTAAGAGAATTGAATTGCAAAATGGTCTTATTTGGGTCATGTGGATCCCTTTGTTTCACTGGGCTCTTTTTTTGTCCTGTGGTGGTCGCAGGTCTAAGCACAGATTCACGTGAAGAAGAGTCATTGGGCTTTGGTAGTAAAGTGTACACCTTTATTGGTGATCCCATGAGGCAGAATCCCAGTCTTTAAATAGATCTAAAGTAATACAATATTTTCTGTACAGAAACCAAATATATGATTGTTGGAGAGCGAATAACCCAGTGGGGCGAGACTACACTTACTTTTCCCAAGTACATCAAACATATTTTCGTATTGATTATTTTTTGTTGAAATCTAATATATTGGATTTTGTGATAAATACTAAGATAGGATCAATAACGTGGTCTGACCACGCTCCTATCTTTGTATCTAATAAAATCAACGTTGAATATAAAGTGAGAAACAACTGGAGACTTAAAGGACCACTATAGTGCCAGGAAAACATACTCATTTTCCTGGCACTATAATGCCCTGAGGGAGGCCCCACCCTCAGGGAACCCCTCCCGCCCGGCTCTGGGGAGAGGAAAGGGGTAAAACTTACCTTTTTTCCAGCGCCGGGCGGGGAGCTCTCCTCCTCCTCTCCACATCCGATCCTCCACTTCGGATGAATGCGCACGCGCGGCAAGAGCTGCGCGCGCATTCAGCTGGTCTCATAGGAAAGCATTCATAATGCTTTCCTATGGACGCTTGCGTGTTCTCACTGTGATTTTCACAGTGAGAATCAGGCAAGCGCCTCTAGCGGCTGTCAATGAGACAGCCGCTAGAGGATTTAGAGGATGGATTAACCCATTTATAAACATAGCAGTTTCTCTGAAACTGCTATGTTTATAAAAAAAAAGGGTTAATCCTAGAGGGACCTGGCACCCAGACCACTTCATTAAGCTGAAGTGGTCTGGGTGCCTAGAGTGGTCCTTTAATAAAAGTTTACTATGTAAGAGTGAAAATATTCTGTCTCTCTCAACACATATTCAAGATTTTCTGGATCAAAATGACAAGTGGGAGGTTTCTGACATGACCCTGTGATGTACCTTAAAATGCTACATAAGAGGTACAATCATCAAAATAGGTGCTCAAACAAAAAAAAAAAGTTTGGAAAAACATTGAGTAACCTGCACATTAATTTAGCCAAACTAGAAGGACTCCATAAGGTCACCTTAGATCCCTCCACCATGCCAGAGATCAAAAAGATGAGAGAGGATATAGCAGAACAAACACTTATAATAATTCATAAAGCCCTCCTAACTTTAAAACAAAGATGGTACTATGCCGCTAACCGATCCAGTAAAATTTTAACAAAAAAATAAAAAAATAAGACAAATGCAGACATAATTAAATAACTAGTGGTTAAGGGAAAAAAGCTTCTAACTCTTAAACAGATTAGCCAAGCATTTGGGGACTATTACAGATCCTTATATAATTTGGATGATCACAGTTATTCTAATGTAGAAATGTCTAATTTTCTAAATAATCTCAAACTTCCTCAAATGTCTTCTGATAAATTAGATTATCTGGATAAATCTATATCAATATCAGATATTAAAAATTGTATTAACTCTTTGAAATCAAATACGTTTCCTGGGCCAGATGGGTACTCCGCGGGGTTTTTCAGAAATTTGAAAAACTATTATTACCTTTATTATTAAGAACATATAGCCAATTCAATGCTAGTAACTTTATTCCATCTGAAATGTTACAAGCTACAATTACTCCAATAGCAAAGGTTAATAAAGATCCGACTTCTATTACAAATTACAGGCCAATATCCCTTATTAACTTGGATATAAAAATGTATTCTAAAATCTTAGCCGAGAGGTTGAAGGAAGTTCTCCCAGATTTAATCCATTTAGATCAATTTGAGTTTATTAAAGGAAGAAGTACTAATGATAATACCAGAAAGGCGATAAATATCATTTACCATATTAATTTACAAGAGGAAGACTCGTCTGCAATAAGCAAAGCCTGGTTTCAGAATTATCAAGCCCCAATACTGCTACAAGAAAGTCGCTGCTCAATAAGCTGATGATCTGCAATAAGCAAAGCCTGATTTCAGAATTATCAAGCCCCAATACTGCTGTGAGAAAGTCTGAGCTCCATCAGCTGATCGATATAGTGTAGGGAGGTGACAGAGTGTGAGGAGTGGTGACAGAGTAATGGGGGGTGACATAGTGTCGGGGGGTCACAGGGTGGGTGACAGAGTAAGAGGGGGTGACAGGGTGAGAGGGGGTGACCTAGTGTGTAAGGGGGGAGACCTAGTGTGAGAAGGAGGGTGACATAATGTAAAGGGGGTGACAGAGTGAGAGTGGGGTGACAGAGTAAGAGGGAGGGTGACATTAGTGTGAGAGGGGTGACAGTGTGAGAGGGTTATATTAGTGTAAGGGGTGTGACAGAGTGAGAGGGAGAGTGACATAGTGAAGGTGGGTGACATAGTGAAAGTAGGTGACAGAGTAAGAGGGGGGTGACAGAGTAAGAGGGAGGGTGACATAGTGAGAGGGAGGGTGATAGAATAAGAGGGGGTGACATAGTGTGAGGGGGTGAAAGTGTGGGGTGACATGGTGTGTGGGAAGTGACAGGGTGAGGTGACAGAGTAAGGGGGGTGACATAGTGTGGGGGGTCACAGGGTGGGTGACAGAGTAAGAGGGGGTGACGGGGGGGTGACCTAGTGTGTAAGGGGGGAGACCTAGTGTGAGAAGGAGGGTGACATAATGTAAAGGGGGTGACAGAGTGAGAGTGGGGTGACAGAGTGAGAGGGAGGGTGACATTGTGTAGGGGGGTGACAGAGTGTGAAGGGGTGGCATAGTGTGAGAGGAGGTGAGAGGGTGGTGACTGTGTGAGAAGGGGGTGACCGTGT